CCCCCCCCCCCCCCCCCGGGCCCTCCTCTTCCTCTGTGTGTGTACCATACGGCCAGGCCAGACAATGAAAATGGAGCGAACCGATTCGATTTGAGCTCTTGAAGGGATAGCAGGCAGGAAGGCGTGGAGGGACACCATCCGTGCCTGCCTCCATCCATCCATTCCTTTCGGCACTGTGATCGGTTGGCTCCTGCTAGCTGAAGGAATGAACCAATTGGCGCATTTTTTCGGATTCTCGTGTTGTGGTGTGGATGGATGGATGGATGTGCGCATGCCGGCCTTGCCATGGCCCGTATGTACGTGTGTGTCGTCACTCACCCACTGGCTCCGTCAACTGCCTGTCTGTCTGCCTATCTGCCTGCCCGACTGACTTTCTCCTTCCCAGCCGCATCTCTGTCTCTCTCTCTCTCTCTCTGCGTGTGTGTTGGATTCACTCACTCCTGTGTGCCATCGATGGCATGCATTGCATCCTTCTTGTTGTGCATGCTTGCGAGACTTCCCGAGACACCCTCACCTGCCCGCACACGGACGCAGATTTAAGTATAACCTCACCCACCCCATGGCCACCCCACCCGCTGATGTGATGATCCGGCAGACAGACAGCAAGCAGCAGTAAATCCATCCATCTCTCAGTAAGTCAGACAGGAACAGCACATACATAATTAGCAGCTGGCAGCTCAAAGCCGCCTTGCCTTGCATGGCTGACGGGACGGATGTGATGTCTCCACGCCACAGCAAGAGTGAGGGAGTGAAGACTCAACAATATATCCACAATCCCTAGCTAGCTATCCAGCCCTAATGCCCTGCCTGCCTGCACTCATCCACACCCTCCCTCCCCACCCTGCCGTGCCATCCCTCTCACCCACCTCCACCGACAAAGGACGACCGTTTCCGCCGCCGCCTCTTCCTCCGCTCAGGCGGCAGAGGCCCCACCACCACCCAACGGCCAACATCCTGCTCCTTGTCCATCTCCACAACATCATCAAGGGGCCGCCTGTGCCACTCGGGGAGGCCCACAATCTCATGGTCGATGTCCATGGGACGCCCGCCGCTCTCCAAGAAGGCGGCATGTCGCTCCTTCTGCAGTGGGAAGGCCAGGGTGGGCGGGAGGGTGCAGAAAAAAATGCCGCCGTCCTCCTTGCCCAGCCACAGAGTGCGCCAGGGGGCGGCGTATGCGACCGAGCGGATCTCGGTGTCGTCAAACCGGGTCCACCAGACGATGCGCAGGGTGAGGACGTCCCAGCCGATGATCTCACCGTTGCGGCTGCAGCTGAATACCACCCAGCGACCAGGCTGGTCCTTCTGATCTGTCCCTGCCTGAGGCTCTGAGCCTTTCTTCAGAGGATGTGCCCACATCCACACGGCAACGAACTGCTCCACAATCCCGAAACCTCCCGTCCGATGCGGCTCTCCCATGTGGTGTTCCTCATCACCAGCCCGCCCCTTGTCAGTGTTCCGCCGTGTCATGGTCACATTGGGCCGAGCAGCCTGATGCGCCGTTCTCGACGAGTCGCCGTGTGAAGGCGTCTTGACGTGTTCGAGCAGTCGCGACGGGAGGCGTTTGGCGGCCGGGGGCGGGCTGAGCGAGACGGGCACCCGGACCTGGCCAAGGGCCTCCGGGGCGCTCTCGCGAGCCCCTTGTGTGCTGGAGGAGGTCAGCAGCCAGATGCGGACGGTGCCGTCCTCTGAACCTGGTGGACAGAATAAATAAAGTGGCAAGCAGGAGGGAGCGAGCGAGATCCTGTGCTCTCTTGTGGATGGGGCGGCGAATGTGTGTGATTCTGTGGGCGTCTGTCTGTCTGTCTGTCTGTCTGCGTACCAGAGAAGAGCCGGCCCGACACCTCTATGAGGCTGGTCACCGCATCCTGCGAGTGAGTCAGTCGAGTGACAAGACACACGAAGGCAAACAGGGAAATGTCGCGTCTGTCTGCGTCCGTTTCAAGAAGCTATTCATTGACTTCCCCGTGCTGTACCGTACCTACCTGGTGTCCTGCCAGCTGGAAAAGGAGCCTCTCGGGCTGGTTTGCCTTGGGCAACATCCAGCAGTATATCACGCCCTTGTTCCCACCTACATAACACACATTAAGGACACACACATCATTCACCGGACCCCTGCAGTGAGTGCACTGATTCCCCTCACCGGTGACCCACCCACCGGTCAAAACGACTGTAGAAGGGCTATGTCGGTCTGTGTGGTGTCCGTGTCCGGTGAGTCTGTGGCTGAGGTTGCTGGTGGTGCTGCGGTGGGTGAGGTTGCGTGCAACCTGGGAGGGAGAGGTGGGCGAGGGAGGGGCTGTGGGGTGGCACGACGACACGCACAGACACAAGAGCTCGTCGTCATCCGTCGGGTGGGCACGGAACGACCGCTGTGCGACAGACACCAAGAGATATGAGCGAATGGGTGAGCCTAGCCTTCTCTGTGTGTCCCTCCCTGTACGTGACTTGCCTCCATTCTAGCCGTGATGGTGTCTCCCTCATCGACGATCTTCCACAGCGACACATAGCAGTCGAACGACCCCACAACCACCGCATCCATCCTGTCCCGAGACCTCACACCATCACCACCACTACCTTCCCCCTCCCGCATCCTGGCCGCCCCATCCACAGGCAAAGACGACACACTCGACGCAGCGTCGCCGTCACCACCGCCATTTTCGTCACTCTCGAGGCTCTCTGCCGAGCGGTAGGTGGCCGGCCCTCCTGCTGCTGCTGCTGCTGCTGCTGTGGGTGTGGGTGTGGGCGTAGGTTCTTTCTTCGCAGAGGGTGATGTGACGAGTAGGGCCATTGATGAGATGGTGTTCTTGTGGGGTCGCTGGCCCTTAGGTGTTTTGAGTGTGACGGACTGCATGTCGTCGACGTTCCACATCTTGATGTCGCCGCTCTCGTGGCCGGTGAGGAACATCTCCGTCGATGGGAGGAACAGAAACCTGCAGGGCAGGCACACAACACAGACCGTAGCTACCTAGAGAGATGAACCGATCATTTTGTTTGCAAAGGAGGAAGGAATGTGTGTGTACTCTGTAATTTCTGAGCGGAATGTCCTGAATGTTCGCAAACACAGCTGATTCTCGACGTCCCAGCTGCTTCATATGTGCAGTGCAACACACACATATATCAAGCTCAGCAGCCAAATCTCTTCTTTGCAAGACCTGCCTGACTTTACTTACGGCGCACGTACCATTTGATGGTGTTATCGCTGCTGGCCGAGTAGAGGTGGCCGCTCACGCCCAGGGGGTTCTTCTCCCTTTCCGACGCACGCTCGCCACAACCCAGCGGTCGGTAAAATGCGCGAACCACAGCTCCTGAACGAAGATACATACCAACACACGCTCATGCTCGAAGTCAGGAGAGTCAGGAGAGAGAGAGAGAGAGCCGTCTTCGTTCCTTCGTCCGCTTCGCACCTGAGTGTCCTTTGATGGACGGGCACGCCGCCCTCGGCACCAGGCGCAGCTGGACGGCCTCCCAGCCGGTCAGCACCACCACATGGCGCGGCTTGTTCAGCCCGTCATAAATGGCGCTCTCCTCAACACTTGCCGTGGCATCGTCTGCAGGGACACCTGATGATGATGCTGCTGCTGCCTGCTGGTCGTTGGCCTGATCCTGCTGCTCCTCGGTGGTGGTGGTGGCTGGGGGGATAAAGGGCATTGAGGAGGGGTCTAATCCCTGGCTGCAAGTGAGGGAGCGAGACACAGACAGACACAGGAGATGTCTCTCATCATGCAACTGTGTCCGTGTGTGCGGTGGGTGGACGGGTAATATGTATGTACCTACTTCCAGTCTTCCATGGTCGGCAGTGCAATCATGGCCCACACACGCCTCTGGCCGTCGGTAGCCACCAGCTTCGCATCCGGCTTCTCCTTGCCGCTCCCGTCTTTCCCCCCTCCGCCATCCTTGTCTCTCTCAGCAGCAGCAGCAGCAGCAGCAGCAGACGACGACGACGACGTCGATCCGTCCTGGCCACCCCATGCCAGCGGCAGCGGCTCATAGGTCACTTTCTCGTCTGATCGAAGGTTGTAGATGGAGATGTGGCCCTGCGAGTCGGCGAGCATCAGCTCCTGGTAGGTGCCGTGCCACGCCGCACAAGTGAAAATGGCCGCAGAGGGGTGGGTGTCGTCGAGGAAGCACTCGTGTGTGTCCGGGTGGGAGATCCTGACTTTCTGATCGTAACCATGGGTCACGATCCGCTGCTCGCCAGGCAAGCATAGCAGCCCCACGATCGCCCGGTGGTGGAAAGCCACCCGCCTGACGCACTCGAAAGACCCGCCGCCGACCATCATGTCGCCAGCAATGCTCTCCATCGACCCCCGCTTCCCCCTTCTCTGCCCATCGCCACCCCGTCTCTCAGATGATGCTCCTGATGCCCTCCTGGCCGGCTCTTTGGCCGGCTCATAAGGCAACGAGTAGGCGAAATGTGTCACGCACCCTGATGTGTCGCTGGCGAGGAGACTCAACGTGTCGCCGCCGTCACGGAAGGTGAGGGCCGTGAACCAGCCGGCGTCGTCAGCACGAGGCGGTGGTGGTGGGCGGTCCTTCTCCGTTTTTTCCGACGTCCTCTTGGGATCTTCGTCGGCTTGCTGGTCTGGCACAGGCGGCCGGATGGACGCGTGTATCTTCTGGAAGCAGCGAAAGGGTGGGAACCGCAACACACGCTTATCGGGGTCCATCTTCCACAGCATAATGTGCTGGTCGGTGGAGCACGAGGCCACGATCGCCTCCCCCCCAAACACCGAGCTCGCCATGGCAAGAACCGACCCCCCATGGCCGTAGAGCGTCTGCAGGCACCGCGCGGCCCCCCTGCCGACCGGATCGTCGTGGTAGGACAGCTCCCACACCTTGATCACCCTGTCAGAGCCCCCCGACAAGAGAAACCCTCCCTTATCGCTCCTCTGCGCCGCGACGGACGGCGACACGTCCAAAGGGTTGCCATTGTGGCCGCCCCGAGACATGCCGGCCAGCTCGTCGTCTTCATGGTCGTCAGTGATCCGTGGGAGGTCGAAGTCGCTGTTGAGCCGCTCCAGGAAGATGAGACACCGCACGGGGCCGCTGTGGCCCTCGTGGATGACGGGCTCGCTGCGGACCAGCTGCCCATTCCCTGCCGTCTCTCCCGGGCCATCGGTGTCCCTTTTGCACTGGTAAGACAGAATCTTCCCTGCAGCATGCAGCACAGCAACGTCGCGATATTTGATTGGTGGCCAAACTTGGGAAGATTTTCATTTCCTTCGTATTACCGACCATTTGATAGCCCCAGGAATACCCTGTAGACAGGCGATGCGGGCTTTGAAACGCAGAGGAGCGAGGCGGCCTGCACGAACCCCTCTGCAGGCGCCCGCTTCCTGCTCGCGCGAGAGGATGTCTGAAGCTCGGGCGTGTCGAAGGTTCGTTCGACTGAGAACTCAATAGAGATCTCGGCATCGAGCTCCTCATGGTCCACTGGCATCCTTGTTTGGTGATTTGAGGGGAGGAAACGGCTGGCCTCGATCTCAAGCTCGCATCTCAGCCCGGTTTGAGCGGCAGAGGGGAATACGGCAGGCTTGCCGCTGCGTCGGCGATAGGAAGGATATCGCTGCTGAGGCACGAATCTTGCGATTCAGGCCGCCCCCCCCACTTCGCAGCAGAAGTTCAGCCGTTGAGCGGCAGTTGGTGGGAGAGGCAGAGAGAGGAGTGGATGAGCCAGGAGGATGGGTTGCGGGAGCAGCCACCTGGGCGAGAGGAAGGTCAGTGGCGCCTCAAGCGCCTCAAGCGGTCTCAAAGCCATCACCTTCAAACGCAAAGGCAGCTCACCTGGTCAGGCAGGCAGGCAGTCAGTCAGTCAACACACACGCCACACACACGCGCCTCACTGTGTTGTGACTGCCTGTGCTGTGCAGCCGGTGACGGCGAGTACGGTGATGACATCGACGTGGAGGTGTTCCACCCCGACCCCGACTTCGGTTGGCGGCGTGTGGTTGAGAGGACCGAGGACGTGGGGTGTGCGGCGCTGATAGTGGGCGGGGCGTCCAAGAAGAGGACGGCGACGTGGCCCAGCCCGCTGCAGCCGTGCACCTACTTCAACGTCAAGAGCGGCCAGACCTGCTCCGTCAACCTTCTCACTCTCTCGCTCAACATCGCCGTCAGAGCACAGCTGCTGGCCAAACGGTTCGGCGTCTCGGTGGTGTCTGAAGCGGGGTCATGCTCACCTGGTAACCACAATGCACCCACACCAACACACGAGTGACAACGCCGCTGTCGCTGCGTGTGTTTGTGTGCAGCAAGCAGTGCGGCGAGGAGGGGTGTGGGTGGAGACGGTGATTCGAATTCTGCAACAGCCACAGAGTGCGAGTCCGTCACCACCATGCCCAGCAGCGGCGAGAGCTACCATGCACCCCAACAGCACCACCACCACCAGCACGAGCAGCAGCAGGAGCAACATCACAGCTCCCCTCCCACCCCCACTCCCTCCCACACCCCCACACCTCCCCCACCCCACAGCACGACCATCTGCACCGACCGCATCGCCTCCATCCCCTGTCTGGGCTACCCAACCGAGCGCCGCAGTGTCTCAGATGAGGACACCGGCAACATCCAGCGAACTGTTTACTCAGCACTGGGCGTCCCTGACACCGGATGGAGCCTCATCGGACCTCACAAACGCTCATCGCGCCGCAGCCAGGCCACAATCTTCCGCAAGGGAGCGAGGGGTGGGGCAGCTGAGATGATGCCGCCCCCCTCCAGCAAGGCCACGCCACGCGGTGAGGGCGTTGGCGGCGTCAGGCGCACCTACAGCGGACAGCTGCGCGCCCGCATCCGTGCAGTGCTGCAGGGCGGGTGTGGAGACGACGACCATTCTCAGTGGTGCAGCGAGGAGGAGATTATGCGCGTCAAGATGAGGCGCAGAGGGGGCCAGGTGGTGACGATCCTGACCGACCCCGGCGACGTGGCCATGAACGTGCACGACCAGCTGTTTCGGCTGGAGGGGCGGGCGAACAAGGCCGAGAGCCATTTCCTGCCCCTGGACACCTTTGGGTGGACGGTGGACCTGGTGCACCAGTTCGGCCACCGCGCCTGCAAGTCTGAGCTGTGCATGGGGGCGGCCATGGGCAGCCCACCACCCAGGAGAAGGACCAAACGCAGCACCAACAACACCGGGCTGCCGGTATGTATATGTATGTTTCCATACGTCACTGCACTGCACTGCGGCCATTGCCTTCTCTTAAGCTGTGTGTGATGTGGTGTGTGCTGCAGGTACGTTCTCCTGATGGTGAGGTGTTCACTCTAGTGCCCGAGGAGCTGGTGCTCAATGTCATGTGCGACACACACACACACACACAGAGAGAGAGAGAGAGAGATGCAAGGAGGGATGGCTGTGTTTGTGTGTCTCTCGAATTGATTGATCAGGTCGTGGGTGGCAGCCACTTACCAGACGCCGACCTCTCTGGGATTCCGGCCATTCTGAGCATGTGAATGAATGCTGCATGTGTGGGTGTCTGTGTCTGTGTCTGTGTGTCTACTCTACTTTGCTATCCCATTCTGGCTGGCCGATGTCTGTCTCTTTTTCACCCTCTGTCTGTCTGTGTGTATGTGTGTCTGTCTGTCTGTCTGTGTGTCTGTGTGTCTGTCTGTCTGTGCACATCACATGCTCACCCCTTCCTCGCTGTCTTGTGGAAATAGCCACACCTACCCAACCCACCCACCGATGGATCAACATACATAGACAACGCACTGCTAGGGCGGCGTATATAACTAACCAACTGCAAACAGATAAGGTAGATAGGACGATTGATTGATTCCTCGACTTTTTGTGCACACCTGACCTAACATGCCAGGTGTGCTATGCCGTGACGTGACGTGACGGCGGTATAATGTGTGATGTGTAATGTGTGAACATATGATGTATGATGTGTGATGTGTGATGTGTAATGTGCCTGTCGATAGATAACATGTTTAAGTCTCTTTTTTCTGAATTTCTTCTTCTGTCTGTCTCACTCCCTGTTTGCCTGCGGACTCGCAAGCAAGCCGAGAGACGCATCGCTTCACTCACTACTAACTAAACTACTTACTTCTGTCTGGTGCAAATTGCATGTGTGTGCCGCTCCTGTCGATAGAGTGAGTATACGGCGGGTTTTCCCATCATCCGTCCGACACATGTGTTAAACGTTTGTGTCTCCCAGCCAGGCAGCCAGGCAGCCAGGCACCCCCTGTGTGGTGTGTGAATACCTACCTACCTACCGTCTGTCTGTCTGCTGTGTGTCGTGCACTGAGTTGTATGCGAGCTATGCGTGAGTGCGGGCGCTGTGGCATACCCATCATGGCGATGGATGCGTATAGGCATACAAGCGGACGGACGGACAGGCAGACGGACAGTCAGTCCCTGTGCACGTTTTTCAGGCCGGCCGGCCACAAAGCCAGCTGCTGTCGATTCGATTCGATTCGATGGGCGGGCTGTGGTGTGCTGGCCTGCACTCTGTGTCGAGAGCTTAGGTTGCTAAACTGGATGCGCACGAACACGTGTGGTGTGTGTGTGTGTATGTGTAAGTATGTGAGGTGCGTGTACAGGGCGAGGCCAGAATGAATGGATAGATGGACGGGTGGGGGGAGGGGAGGAGAGGGAAGGGGAGGGGAGGGGAGGAGGGGGGAAGGGAGTGTCAACACAACAAATGGTCTGTTCTGAAGCTAGTTCCTTCCATAGTAAACACACGCTCACACCCACACACGTGTAGATAGCCCCAGACGCGTGCATGCGCATTTTTCTGCCACTACACTGACACACCACAAACCACACACCATCATCATGACCACGACACCATCCACCACCCCTGCCTGTCTACCATGTCTCTTCCTGCCTGTCGGCCTGTCAGCCTGTCGGTCTGTCAGGTCACCTTCACTGATGCAGATATGCACACCACACACCACCCCGGCCACCGACCCACACAACGATGTCTCCGTGTTTGTTTATTCTTGGCCAAGCTGTGTGAGCGTGCGTCACTGAGGCATGGTTTGATGGCCGGACCGAAGGGTCTGTCTCTTTTGCCTCTGGTGTGGAGTGTGTCGGTCCTTGGGTGGGTGGAGAGGGATTACGCCCTGCATGGCCTGTATGTATGTATTCATGTCATGAACACACAACGATCGAGTCAGGGGGAGTCTCTCACGTCAACACAACTCACTCACCCGGATGGGGCGGGGCCAAGCCCGCAGAGAGTTCACAAACAAGCAAACAGCTCACACACACACACGAGGACACACGGCACATGAGTTTCATCATGCACGAGCGAGGCAGGCAGGCAGGCAGAGAGAAAAAAGTCTTGCACTGATCGTATCGTATCGGTGGTTTGGGCGGGCCAGCCACGCACATGTGCAGCAGTCCTGATTGAGAATTCAAAACGCATCGACATCAGCCATGGATGGGATCTTCGCAATTGCAACCTGCCTGTCTGTCTGTCTGTCTGTTCGTCTGTGAAGCGCCCACAAAGCAGCTAAGCTACCAGCCAGCCCTCTCCCTCACTGCATTCCCCGCCCTCTTTGATAAAGAAACAACGGCCACAGAGGGAGGGAGAGAGAGAAGGGAGAGGGATGAGACGGCGGCACGGGTAGCATGGTACACGCAGCCATTAATTGAGGCACTCTCTCATTCGCTCAGTCACTCACTCAGGCCAAGGGCCGACATGCAGTGGGCAGCCAGGCAGTCAGGCAGTCAGACAGCACAGGCAGGGGCAGAGGTAAGGATGGAGGGAGGCGTGCAGGGGTGGGTGGGGTCGGTGTGTGGTATCATGACAGGAATAAATCGTCCGCTCGGCCGGTTGGTCCACCTATGAGTAGAGATCCTCCTCTTCGGCCTGCTGTCCGAACTGATATACATACGATGATGGCACACACACACAGGGCAGGGCACGGCAGGACAGGGCAGAGAGCATGTGTGTGACGACGCAACGTCCTGGTGGTGTGTCTGTCTGTCTGTCTGTCTGGGTGAGAGCGTCATATCTACCATATTATGGGCGGATCTAGGTACCTACCTGTGCCTGATCTGCGTCGGGCCAGTCGATGATGACACCGCCGTCGCTGATGACACACAGACACACACACACACCCCACACACAATGAGTGCAGCCACCAGCCACCACATCCCATCTATTATTTCCCACTCACTGCTCAGCTCACTCACCCGCCCGCAGCGGTGGACTGCTTGTAAACTGGGTCAAACTTCATCCGGAAGTTGTCATACCTACCACACACAACACAACACAGCACAACACAAGGCACCCAACACACACACACATGAGTGGATGATGGACAGACAGCTCCTCCATCCATTCGTCCGCCTCAGTCAGACTCACTTGGCGAGGTCGGTCTGCGAGACGGATCGCCGCGCGCCCCCGAATGCCTCCTCGAAATGCTTGCGTGAGATGGTGGACGCGGCCTCGTCGAGCGTGTCGTCCGTCTCCATCGCGTCCTCCCCGTCGCCCTTCTTCAACTCGTCGGCGGCAATCGACTGAATTAATTGAGGCGCACACACCACACCAAACCAAACACACACACACGTGTGTTGTGTGAGGGAGGGGTGGGCTGTAGAGGAGAGGTGTTTGACTGTGCGTGTCCGTCCGTACGTCACGGATGGCGGCCTTTGCAGCCCGCTGGCACAGCTCTGCGAGATCGGCACCGCTGAAGCCCTCCGTCTTCTGGGCCACGAAATTCAGAGGGACGTCACGGGCGACGGGGGACTTTCTGGACAAAAAGGACGAAGGAATTAATGACATCCACACACCAACACACCAACACACATACATACGGACAGCCAGGCAAGCATGTCTGTCGTGTGGTGTGGTCGACCGACCTGAGTGTGGCTTCGAGGATGCCGAGTCGTGCGGGCAGGTCGGGGAGTGGGATGTATATGAGCTGGTCCAGCCGCCCCGGGCGCAGCAGCGCCTCGTCAAGCAGCTCCGGACGATTCGTGGCACCTGCACAACCACACAACCGCATCTTATCCACACGAATCCCTCTCCCTCCCTCCCTCCCTCCATGGGTGCAATGCCATGCGTACCGATGAAGAAGAGGTTCTTCTTGACGCCCACGCCATCGATCTCTGTGAGCAGCTGGTTCATGACCCTGTCGCCCGCCCCGCCGGCGTCGCCGATGGACGAGCCGCGCGACGTGCCGATGGAGTCGAGCTCGTCGAAGAAGAGCACACAGGGGGCGGCGGCACGGGCCTTGTCGAACACCTCACGCACGTTGGCCTCAGACTCACCGAACCTGCACACAGATGAGATGCACACAGACGGGTGTGTAGGGGTGGGTGGGTGTGGGGCGGGGGTGTGTGGGAGGGGGGGTGCGCGTGTGTATATGTGTGGTTGTGTACTTTACCACATGGTGAGGAGTTCGGGTCCCTTGATGCTGACGAAGTTGGCCGAACACTCGGACGCCACCGCCTTGGCCAGCAACGTCTTGCCTGAAGAGAGACATGCGCACACACCTTTCTGTCTGTCTGTCTGTCTACTTGGATCGGTCTGGTCTGCGTGTGTGAGAGTGTGCGTGCGCCGCGCCTCACTGACCGCATCCGGGGGGTCCGTAGAACAGCACACCGCGGGAAGGAGACATGCCGAACTTCTCAAACTTATCCTGCACACACACACATGGACACCCACAGAGAGAGATGCCCACCTTCCCACCCACACAGAGGATTCGATTCAGCAACTCACTCACCGGGTGGTCGATGGGGTATAGGATCATTTCCTGGAGGTTCCTCTTGACGTCCTCGAGCCCGCCGATGTCGTCCCACTTAACGTTGGGCACCTCCACCACCGTCTCCCGCAGCGAAGAGGGGTTGCAGGTGCCCATGGCGCTGTTGAAGTGCTCCTGCGTCACGGCCATGCTGTCCAGCACCTCGGCGTCGATCGTCTCCTCCTCGAGATCGATCAGGTCCATCTTTTCGCGGATGCACTGCAATGCCGCCTCAGTGCACAGCTGGGCCAGGTCCGCACCCTGCACAGCACACGTGCGACAGACAACAGACAGACAGACAGACAGACAGACAAGGAAGGCATGTCTGCAAGCATGCAACTCTCTCTGTCTCTCTCTCTGGGTGGTCAGGTCACATCACACTTACGACAAAGCCGTGTGTGTTGGCAGCGATGTCCTCGAGCTTGACATTCTCGTGGAGCTTCATGTTGCGCGTGTGGATGCGGAGGATCTCCAGCCGGCCGTTGTCGTCCGGCACACCGATGTCGATCTCACGGTCGAACCGACCGAACCGACGCAGAGCGGTGTCTATCACGTTCGGCCGGTTGGTCGCAGCTGACGAGTGAGTGACAGACACACAACGGAGAGAGGGATGGAGCTGTGGATACACAATGGCTGTGTGTTGGTGCCCTGCTGAGGGGGGAGGGGATCATACCGATGACGACCACCTGGCCGCGGCCCTTGAGTCCATCCATGAGGGTCAGCAACTGCGACACCACACGACGCTCAACCTACACACCCCACACCCCACAAAGAGAGATAGATGATACGAGATGCCCCCACACACCTTGCACACCTTCGTCAACTCACCTCTCCGTTGGTTTTGTCTCGTTTGGGTGCGATGGAGTCGATCTCGTCGATGAAGATGATTGCTGGGCTGTTCTTCTCGGCCTCCTCGAAGGCCCGCCGCAGGTTGGCCTCGGCCTCGCCCGCCATCTTGCTCATGACCTCGGGGCCGTTGATGAGGAAGAAAAAGGCACCCGTCTCGTTGGCTACCGCTCGAGCTATCAACGTCTTGCCAGAACCTAACACACACACACACACACGACGGACGGTAGGGGAGAGGTGGGGTGGTTGCGTCGGTGTGTGTGTGTGTGTGTGTGTTACCTGGGGGACCGTACAGCAGCACACCGCGGGGCGGCTTCACACCGAGTGTCTTGAACAACGTGGGGTGACGCTGCACACACAGGCACACACACACAGAGAGAGAGAGAGGGTATGGTGAGTCCGTCTTACGAGCAACCCTTCATGTGTGTGTGCGACGTACGTACCAGCGGCAGCTCGATCATTTCTCTGATTTGGGCCATTTGTTTGCGGCAGCCGCCAATATCGTCGTAACCCACGTCGTCGAGACGCTCCTCCTCCTCACGCTTGATCGGCTCGCCCTAACACACAAAAAGATTTGCACACGTGTGTGGTGTGGTGTGGTGTGGAGTCCGTCCCCACCCCTTGGCTCACCTCGCAGTGAATGACGGTGTCCGGCGCCACGATGCAGAAGTCGCCAGGGTCCACACCCACTACCTACACATCACACCAACACATACACACACACAAGAGTGCGCACCACATGTCGTGAATCTGTTTGTGGTGGTGACAGACTGACAGACTGACCTTGAACTCTACGGGTCTGAATCCTCCGCGTACGAGGAAGAGGTCTCCCTTGCGGACGGGTCGGTAGGCCTCGGTGAAGTACGGCTTCAGGTACGTCTCAAACAGGTTACCAGTGATGCCCTCGATCGTGTCGTCCAGAGGCAACACGTGCACGCGCTGATTGATGTAGCCAACACAACACACCACACAGACGAGGAGAAAGTGCCATGTGTGTCGTGTCGTGTCGTCTGTCGGTGTGGACGGGCTGGCGGGGGCACCTTCGGCACCTTACCTACCTTGCCGTATGCGACGTCGCCACAGGCGTTGATGGAGACGATATCTCCGAGGCGCACCCTGAGGTTCTTGCGAACGACCTTGTTCATGCGGATCTTGCCCTCCTCCAGGTCCGTGTCGGCCAGCACTATGCACACCGTGTCATGGCGCTTCTTGCCCTTGATCAGCACCGTGTCGCCGCGGAACAGATTCAACTCTAAATGACCACACAACCACACACACACATCATCATCATCATCATCGACACACACACATCATCGACACACACTCAGACGAACGCCACGCACCCTCACAACCCAGACATGCACCCAGATCAGTCGAGAGACACGCCAGCCGTCCTCTCCCTGTCTGTCAGTCTGTCTGTCTGTTCGTCTGTCTGCCTTCATCCCAGCCAGCCAGTCGTCTGTCTGTCGTGCCACTGACTGACCTTCCATGCGCGTGGGGTTGAGTGCCACCACGGAGTTGTCATCGTTGACCGCCTCCTCGACAATCAGCCGGTTGGCCGACCGCTTCTTCGTCGGCTCCTCGGGCGCTGGCGCGGCGGGAGTGTCGCCGGCGGGCGGTGCGGTGGGTGCGGACGAGTCGGCCATGCTCAGGGATGTGTCGATGCACGCACACAGACGTATGCGAGATGCGATGCGATAGATAGAGGATTAACGCAGGAACTCCCCAACCAGCGGATTACGATACCGCTCGATGCCCAACAGCGGCACAGCGGCACGTCACCAACTAGAATCGGAATTCAAGCCCGTCTTCTTGTCTAGCTCGCAGGAGTCGAAAAGGGAAAGGGGGCCTTCTGGTGGCTGAGGAGTCCTGGAGAGAGATGCTGATGAAGTGTGGTTGACTGATCAGTCCTTGGCACGAATGGTGTCTTGGCTGCTGTGGTGCGTTCCTCCCGCACTCGCCCTGGTGGCCCTGTACACATTGGGTGGCCGTCCATGGCTGCGGCAGCACGGCCGGCTTATCCAGGAGGTGGGCGATGAATCAGATGGATCATCCATGCGTTCCATTTGGCCACGCGGATCAATTGGCTTCTCTCTCTCAGGCGGCTGTGAGTGAGGGTGTCGGTGCAGCGGGTGCCGGTGCCTTGGAGAGATCTTCACAGTGCAGCGGCGCGCCCAAGATCCGAATCATCGGGTGAGAAAAGCTCCTCATGCAACCCAGCCATGTCATGTCATGTCATGCAGCCGATGGTCGATATGGTATGCTGGTGTGGTGTGGTGTGGTGTGGTGTGTGTTGTCAGGGATCTGCACGCGGGTTCGCCTTGGTTGCACGACAACGCTGAGCGGCTGTTTGAGCTACTCGAACTCATGGTATGTATCACTCAATCACATGTATACGACACGACCCGGCGATATGATTTGCGGAGCACCCATCCCATCCCATCCCACCCAGCCACCCGTCCCTGTATGTGTGAAATGACCTACAGTTGAACAACACGCACCCCGACCACAGGGACTTCACCCACCTGGTCATCAACGGCGACCTCACCGACCTTCAGCTCGTGCCCCTCGCAGCCACACCCCCACAGCCCATCGACGTCCTCTCCGGCAAAGTCAGAACCAAAGGCGGCGGCATCGACTTCCAACGACTCACATCGCTGCTGGAGGCCGTCAACGACCGCCCCACCAACTGCTCCTTGACAGGGAGCAGAGGCACGCAGGTTGTCGTCATGAAGGGCGACACGGACGAGGGCATAAGGGGTCTGTTTCCGGAGGCGTCGGGCAACCCGCCCACACTGGTGCCGGGGGATGGGCGGACGGAGGGTCGTGTGGTGGTGGGGCTGGAGACGCTGAAGCTGGGGCCGGTGTGGATAGAGCACGGCCAGAGGCTGGACTTCTTCGCATACGACCCGCTTGATAGGATCCCTTTCAGCAGATACCTGCAGAGGTCAGCCAGCGCAGCGCAGCGCAGCGAGACAGACCGAGGGGCACGGAGCACTGATGGCTGGATGTGTGGTGCTTGTGGGCAGGGTCTCAGCGTCTCACGAGACGCCCGCGTCTGTGTGGAACATAGCGCACGAGGTCGTGGGCAATTACCTTAGGAAGTAACTAACGAACGACACTCTGTCTGTCTGTCTGCCCACCGCCCTCCCTCCCTCACTCACTCATCCACCCGCCACGCTGTGTGTGAATGCGCATGCCCCTCCCTTTGTGCAGACGCCGCTTGGCGGTCAGTTGGACTTTCCGCGATTTGCGAAAGCCGGCACGCATGAGGGAGCTGCTGACGGAACTCCTCAGGTAGGTAGGCAGCCTTTAGAGCCAGCAAAGACAGACAGAAGCAGGCAGGAGGAAACTGAGGCATGCACTGCATGACATCACTTGTGGGCTGGGCTGTCTGCGCTGCGTGCGTGTTGGTGTTGTTACCGGTAGGTTCGCCAACTTCGGCGATTGGGTAGAGGAGGAGACGGTCGTCAAGGATGGATACTGGAACTACATCTTCACCGACGATGGACGAAATGTAGTCAACTTCCAACACACCCGACGCCCACACGACGGACACCACACCATACCCATTCATTCCCTCACCTGTCTGTCGATTGATTTCATGCAGCCGCGGCCGCTCCCCTCCCGCAGTGACGTGTCCATCAAGGAGGTGCTGGACGAGTACGCCAACCTGGCGGCCGAGTGGGAGGGCAGAGAGGGCAGCAAACTCGCCAGCGGCGCTCTCTACGCAACCGCATTCAACGAATACGACTGGTGCGCCCCGCCCTGCCCACCACATACACACCACAACACATGACATGACATGACATGCAACCCACACTCAATGAGTGAGGAGTGTGTGAATCGTTGCCTGCCCACCCCACCGAACAAACAGGTATCTTCACGAGCTGGTTCGCAAGTACGAGATCGACGCCATGCGGGAGAACGACGAGGGCATCCTCATGGACGCGCCCAGCCTTGTGGTCCTCGGCCACACCATGCGCGCGGGCATCACCAACCTCAACTCGCGAGCTATTGTGCACACAGGCGCCTGGGTCGACCACGCCGCACACAGGAGCTTCGTGGACATATACCTGACCGCACAAAGCGATGGTATGTATGGTGAAGCTATGTGCGACGGATTGATTAGTGCTGCGCATCTTCTCCTGTGTTGGCGTCACGTCAGGTGGGTCTGTGTCATCGCCTCTGTGGGCGGTTGACAAGGCGGAGCTCATCTTCTACGAGGACCCTGAGACGGTGCCCGCGGAGAGGTGGCGGCCCAAACAGGCAGCCATACCCACTTTCTTCAGGGTACACACACACACACACACACCACCCTCCCTTCCTCCCTCCCTCCCCCATATTGTATCTGTCCATTTGTCCATTTGTCCATCCGTCCATCCGTCGGTCAGCGTCTCTGGCGCAACCTGCCGTTCCCCCTGGTGATTCTCATCGTGGCCTTCCTGACGGTCCTCTTCACCACGGTCATCGCCACCGTCATCCTCATCGCATACCAGCGGTCCACCGCCCCCTCCCCGCCAGACACCGTCGTCCACCGCCCCCTCTCGTCCATCGGCGAGGAGACCGTCTCCATCCAGTCGCCCGACAGGAGCCCGCGAGACATGCCGCAGCAGGCGGTCCCCCGCATCCAGGGGCTGGCAGCGCGGATGCGCTCTGGCGCCTCAATCGAGATGTCGCCGCGGTCGCCGGGCGACGGGCGGCGGTGGTCGCGGCGGTCGTCCAAGGCGTCGCTCAGCCAGGAGGAGCAGTTCAACTATGCGAGTGCCCAAGATATGCTCAGGTCAGCCTGCTTGTTGTAAGTAAGGTGGGATGATCCATTTGGACCTTTGGCCCTCTGTGTGTGTGTGTGTGTGTGTGTGTGCAGGCGCCACCGGCAGAGGCGTGCGTCTGACAAACACTCGCTAAACATCCTCAAGGTACCCACCCTACCATCATCTCTTCGATCTTACTGGCTGAGTCCATCCATCCATCCATCCATGTGTGTGCAGAAGGCGTACGAGGAGGACCAGCAGCACCTGTCCCCCACCGCATCCCCCAAACTGGGCCTGCCGCCCGTCGAGGAGGAGAGGGCATCGTCGCGCGTGTCGTACGCACCGGTGCCACACGATAGATAGCCACACATGATGATCGTCCCACTTTCTTGTCGACCGACATACGGCGGGTGCCGGGTGCCGGGTGCATTGTGCGCACATACATGGAGGGGTCGGCATTGCATTGCACTCTCTATCTACTCTGTACAGCCCAGACGAGCGATGCGTGTGAGTGTGAGTGTGAGTGAGAGGGTGTTGTTGCGTTTGTTTCGTCCGTCGGTTGATGTGATGGGTTGCTGTGTCCGTGTCTGTCCTGGTTTGCGTAGTGAGGCGATGCACCTCAAGGCAGGACAATGACAATGACAGTGACATCAATGTTGGCATTCATTCGTCCGATGGATGGAAGCAACCAATAGTCAATCGGAATCACTCACACACACACACAACAGGAAGAAAGTCATTGTTTGTATGATAAAGGATGGCTCCCTCTCTCTCTTCCTGTCCTTCCCCCGCGCAGCCCCGCCCGCCTATACAGGTGTGTCGTGTCGTCCACCCCACCCCGCTCATCATCTCCTCACGCACCGCACCGCACCGCACCAGCCGACACATCAAAACAAACATGGGTCAAAAACAAGCAGCGTGTGTGCATGCCTATGCTCACACACCCACCCCACAGGCAGGCAGGCAGGCAGGCAGGCAGACAGATGTATCTGGATAGGTATGTTACACCCGGCCGCAGTCGGTAGGTCGGGTCGGTCAGTGTGGTGACTGCAGCCAGTTCCTGAAGGCGCTGTAGGCATTCTCCACGTCCATCGACAGCTGACGCGACTGGCTGTCCGACAACTCGTCAGTTGCCGACATCCGGTTCAGCGTGTAGATCCTGCAGACATAGTACACACAACATCCAGCCACAACACACAACCAACACACTCATCGGTGCGAGGCGAGCCTCACAGGCATTCTCTTCTGCACTTTGTCTGTGCACACTCACTCACCATTCCTTGACCTTCTGTATGCCCGCCATGTCGTGGGGCAGACTGCCCACACGGTTCAGCGACGACACCAACTCAGACACCAATGGCTGAATCTGCTCGGGTCAACACAGGCGAGCAGGCAGGCAGACAGGGAGATGTGCACATGTGGGGTGGGGCCGTCCGTCCGTCAATGAGCGTGTGTGTGTGTTTCTCTCGGCTTACTTCGTCGACAGCGCGTTGGTTGAGCCTCACAGCGTCCAGCAGGGTGATGAAATGCCCACTCAACTCAAACACCAGCAACGACTGCACACACATAATTCGTTCGTCCATCCGTTCCACCAGGACCCCTCGCCACCAACCAAACCACCACACGCCCACACAGACAGACACCCCACCCACCTCGGCTTTGCTTGCCGCCTGTCCGGTGGCATACAGCTTTGTGGCGGGCACGCCCGACTCGAGCAGCCTGTCGGTGGCGAGAGGGCAGTCGAGGTCATACTCGTCGAGGAACTCCCTGATGTCGGGGTACTTGTCCTTCAGGGCTCGCTGGAGCGTCTTGAACTGTGCGATGAGCGACATGCACTCCCGCTCGTAGTCCTGCTCCATCACCCAGCCGTTGACAAAGGCCTTCTCCAGGTGCTCCACTGTCCGGATGATGGAGTACAGGTTCGCAGAGTGCTGAAGTGAACGCTGCGGGGCAGACAGATAGACAGACAGGAAGAGATGAGAGGCCTGCAGATGTGATGTGCTGTGCTGTGCGCTGTGCTGGCTGTGGTTCCATTCACCGTTTCCTCCGGTGTGAGGACGACGGTCTCGCCGCCGCTGTCATACATCAGTGCTGCGAGGGAGAAACAGCTTCGAACAGCTTGCCCAGTCGACGCATTTCAAACCCTAGACCCGGAAACCCTTGACCTCGAAATACCGGACCTTTTTCCCTTCCCTCCCGGTTAGCGCTGATAGGCATGGCGGCAAGGAAAGACGAGAGATCGGCGGTGCCGATGCCGTCAGTCACAAGCGACAGCTCCACCGATACCGACGAGCCCGGCACCACCGGCCACAACCCTTCACTTGGCGGAGGCGGCTTCGGCCTGGCGGGCCTTGTGTGGCCGGCCCCGGGCGGCAAGCCCGGCGGCAAGTCCAAGCAGGCCCCGCCCAGCACCCGCCGGAAGACCCAGAACATCCTCAACGTGGCCTGTGCGCTGGATGGTGCGGATATGCAGCTGCTGCCGAGCACATTCAGGGCTCTGGAGAGGGAGCTGCACTTGCGGCCGCAGCATCTGAGCCAGCTGTCGCTGTACCAGAGTCTGTTCCAGAGCCTCAGCGCGCCGGTGTGGGGGTATCTGGCTGACCGCTACAGCAGGCAGACCGTCCTGGTGAGTTGTTGAGTGGTTGAGGGAGGGAGAGGTCACAAAAGGAAAGGGCACAAAACAAACAAGGTGGTGTGGGAAGGAGGGGTGTCTGCATCGTGCGTGTGTGTTTTGTCTTGTGCTGCAGTCTTACGGGTGCATCCTGTGGGGCGTCATCACGATAGTGCTGGCGGCCTCGACCACACTGTGGGAGGTAGGTAGGCCTGGCTGGCTGCCCCTTCTGAGAGTGTGTGTGTGTGTGTGATGGGTCCCTCCCTTTTCACTCACTGCAGATGGTGGTACTGCGCGCTCTCAACGGCATTGCCCTTGCAAGTGCGTTCTCAATTCACACTGACCCATGCACACGGACAAGATAGCTATGGTGGTGTGCATATGCGTGTGTGTGCAGGCGTTGGGCCCCTTTCACAGTCGATGATAGCGGACCTCTTCGGCGTCGAGGAGCGGGGCGGAGCCTTCGGTATGATCGATGCACACGCAACTCGACTCGCACACAGAATGGACTGACTATCTCTGATGATTGTGTCCATCCCTCTATCTACCTTATGTGCGTTGCGTTTGTGCGTGTGAAGGCTGGGTGCAGCTGTCGCAGAATGTGGGGGCGATTGTGGGTGGAGTTGCCACCACGAGCGTGTCCCAGATGTACATTCTCGGTGAGCGACGGACGAAGCCAGGCAACCACACGCCTTCCGGCTGCCTCTCATTTGTGTGTGAGAGTGTAGGTGTGTCCGGTTGGCGCGTTGGCTTCATGGTGGTGGGCCTGATGTCCATCGGCCTCGGCGTCTTCGTGTCGATGTCATACCTGAGTCTCCCAAGACATGCGCCCACCAAGGGAGATGACTCGCCCACCGCCTCAAAGGCAAGCAGAGAGGAGAAGGCACAACACCCCATCGCACACACTACCCCGCACCCACCTCCTATTGGCGTGTTTTCTCGTTTGCCAGAGCCCATCTGAGGGAGGGCAGGGCGTGCGCGCGAAGGTAGTGCGTGGTATGCTTCGGGAAGTGCGGAAGATCCGCCTCATCGCCCGGAAGCCCACATTCTGGGGCGTCGTGATGCAGGGCATCTTTGGTATGGGACACACGAGCAGGCAACGCACATCTGGCGCGAACACCATCTCACCGTCTCTCCGTGGCTGTGTGTGTGTGTGTGACGTGAGGCGGGATACCCTGGAACGCCATGGCCTTCTTCACCATGTGGTAGGACACACAAATGCGAGGCCACAACGACCACAGGCCATTCTCTGTCCGTTTCATTCAAGGTTTCAATACGTCGGCTTTGCTGACTACCAAGCGGCGATTGTCTGGGCTGCTCTGCAAGCGGGCGGCGGCCTCGGGGGCCTCCTCGGCGGCTATGTGGGCGACTCCCTCGCTCGCTGGAACGAGAATCTCGGCCGCCCTTTAGCGGCTCAGCTGTCTGTCGCGCTGGGGATTCCCGTGACGGCCCTGATCCTGCAGATCATCCCCCGCTCGCCGGACTGGTACGTGGCCTTTCTTATCGGCATGTTCCTCCTAGGACTGGTGAGTGAGTGAGCAAGGAGGGAGGAAGGGAGGGAGGGAACAGAGGGAAATTGTGGGGTCTACCTCGCTGCGTGGTGCAGGTGGCTGCGTGGTGCCCTGCGGCCACCAACCGCCCCATTCTCACCGATATCGTGGACCCAGCGGACCGAGCCACGATCTTCGCGTGGCTGCTGGCGATAGAGGGCGCGGCAGCTGCGGTTTTCGGCGCGGTAAGGTGTAGGTCCGTAGAGGAGGTGCTAGCCACACGCGTGTGTGTGTGTGTGTGTGTGTGTAGCCTTCTGTGGCCATCCTTGCTGAGGTCCGATGTCAGATGCACAAACACGATAGACGATAGACGAGAGCTGATGTCGGTTTGTGCTGTGATGCGATGTGTGCAGGTGTTTTTCGGCTACAAGATGAGCACGCTTGACGTGAAGACCATGTCGGAGGAGACCCGCATACACAATGTCAATGCGCTCGCTAACTCACTCACCCTCTCAATGGTGCGCGCGACGCGCGCAACGCCCAGCCCTGTGTGTGATCTCCTGTCTGTGTGTCCGGCCATTCAGATGTTGCCTTGGAGCATCTGCTTCTTCATCTACGGGTCTTTGCACTTCACCTACCGCCACGACCGGCTGCGTGCCAACAAGGAGGCCTACACGCCGGTGAGTGCCGACACTGCCCCCGGCACCTGCACCGCCGCACCAGACCATGCCATTGCGCTCGTGACTACTGACCAGGTTATACGCACAGACGATACCGCGGTAGGTACCAGCCATTCGGTCGCAGCAGGGCCGATTCCACACGCACTCTCCCCGCCTCGCCCCATCCCTCCATATGTTTGTGGCATCTTGTGTGATGTGCAGCCGTCTGACAAAACGTTTCTGACCGAGGAGAGCCCTCTGAACCCGGACCGCCATAGTAGCACCTCCTCTGCAGATGAGCAGTCGCCCCGGCAGAAGATGCTGGACCGGATGGAGTCGGGCAGCGGCGATGTCGGCCCGGTAGCAGCAGAGAGGGACGGGGATGGCCATGGCCACCAGCGGGCGCTGTTTGGCGGCAAGTCTCGCGAGCGCAGGTCGTCGCCCCAGGACAGCAAGGGCTGACTTATGGATGGATGGATGGATGGAGGTCAGTGTGTCAATAGGTGTGTCTGGGGTGGGGGGTGTATATGGGTGGCGAGGGAATTATTTACTCGTTCAGGTGTGTTTAGCGTCAGGCAGGCAACTATATATGCGTTTGTTGTGTGCCGGGTGGGTACTTTTATACGTTCCATTCTGGCGTGTTGATGATGCGATACGTGGCGGGTGCCATGGTTTCCTTCTCCCTCTCTCGCTCTCCCTGTGCTGAACTGCCTCCCTCTCTCTCTCCTTCCCTGCCTACCCACGTCCTGTGGTTAATTCGCCCGTCCGGTCGGCAAATTAGGAAAGGAGACATATAGGCCTTTGTTAAATGTCCAGTCAACCACATCGATGGGGTCGGGTCGATGGATGCCGCATTTTGGGCGGGCATCGATGGTACATAGACAGACAGACAGACAGACGAGGGACCTTGAGACGCGAGAGAGACACAACGAACGCTTTCACCTCACTTGTTTCATGTGACGTGACAGACATGCGCTGCGCCGTGTCCAAGCATTGCATTCTCCACCCACCCACAAGAGACTACCTACTGCACACCTCCACACACACACACACATGCATGACCCCGTCGGTCAGTCAATCAAGTCCACCCCTCCAGCAGCCACCCATCCTCCCCAGCACCTTCATGACACCTCTGCTGCCCCTCCCTCTGGTGCCTTGGCGCATATCTGGCCCCTCTGAGCTGGAATGCGCTCTTCATGTACCGATGATGGCTGCTGTTGGGCACACTCACACCCGTCCGCGGCCTCGGCACCGTCGGCTGCCGGACATGTGACGGCTCCAGCGACCTTATCTGCATTGGGAGGTCTTCCAGGATCCCCAGAGGGTCTTCTGAATGGGCTGGGAGTGCACCAGGGCTGATCGTGTTGTGACTATTGTTCTCTTTCCTCGGGATCATGGTTTGTGCGTGCACGTCTCTCGTGGCAGGCCGCGCGGCGACAGAAACGTCATGAGTGGTGAGAGGCTGCTGCTGGGGGAAAGCCAGAGGGGGAGGAGGGGGGGGCATCTGGCTGGTCCTGTCCATCGCCCCTTGTCGCCTGGAAGAGGGCCGCACCATCCCATTGCTGGTGAAAGGCCTTTTCATGGCCGTCACGGCGGCTGGCGGCCCCTCACCACCATATGACGACGGCAGCTGCGAAGAAGGTTTGCTCCTGTCCATGCTCTTGAGCGGGCAGAAAGGCAGCGACAGGATGGACACAAACTCGTCCTCGCCCTCCAGAGCCCCACCGGGTGGATGCAGCACCGCCTCTCGTATCGTCACAACCTCTGTCCCGTCTCTCCTTCTGCCATTGTCGCCATGGTCGTCTGGATGGTCAGGGGGTGACTGCTGGTCAGGGTCACCGTCAGGGAGGTACCACCTGCCGGGTGTGTGGTTGTAGAGCTTGGTGTGGACCGGGATTCTGTTTGTGGTGGCCACCTGCTTGGAGGGCCGCTCTCTCATCTGCGACGAGAGGGCGAAGTCGGCCGATGACCTCGACCGACGGATGGCCGGCTGGTAGACAGAAAGAAGGTCTCGGATGGACGCTGCACGGACAGACACAGGAACAGGATGAGGGAGCCTGTCTGCATGATCCACACCTCTATTGCGTTTGTGTACCTCTCATGGCGGCGTCGTTTTGCCGGACTTGGCAGTGGGGCTCGATGATGGGGCGCAGGTGGTAGTGCGGGTCCCTCTTGTTGAGCTTCTTGGCCTGCCTCTCGCCCGCCTGCAATGGATATCAGTGCGTGCGCATAAGCACAGAACAGAATGGTGGTTTGCTCATGGTTTGCTCATGTCTGGCACTGCTCTCACCAGTTGTGATGTTGGGCAGAGGCACTGCGCGAACTCATAGGAGCTGTTGAAGGGGGGCCGCTGTTTGTGCCGCAGCAGCGGGTGGCTGGTATAGTAGTCGACGAAGGTGCTCACGTCGTGAGGCTCCTTGTAGGCATGTGATATGTCTGACAGAGACTCCTTGCGGATACGCTCTCCATAGGACGAATACAGAATTGCAGGCAGCCTCCCCATATTATCGTAGCCTTTCTCACGGGAGACAAGGGAGAGAATATTCAAGCTCGCGAGTGGTTTGGGGCCACAGGGGGCAACTGATCTGCCGCAATGAATGTGCTTCCCTTCGTTTTGGTCGGCCTTTTCTGGTCCAGGTGCAATGCAAGATCCATCTTGCAGCCGCGGCAAGATCCTCCTTCAGCACCATCGCCATCAGCGGCAGGTCCGCGTCAGCAGATCTTGAGCATGATTTCCAAGCTGCGGGGCGACATCGTGGCGGGGGGCGCCTCCGAGCAGAGTGCGTATGATAAGTACGCCTGCTGGTGCGAAGATACCCTGGCCCGGAAGAAAAAAGACATCAAAGACGCCAAGTCAGATGGAAGAGAAGGACAGAGATACAGGGGTGTTTGCAGTGCGTGTCGTGTGCCGACTGACTGCAGGGCCCTAATTGATGAGCTGCAGACAACGATCTTCAACCATAAAGGCAGCCGAGGGCAGCTGGAGGCGCAAATCGCCAAACTAAAGAAGGTGCACACCCTGGCCAGCCGCGTCATGACGAGGCATTACACCTGTCTGGCTATATGCATCATCGATGGTCAGGACATCGGCGAGGCCGACAAGTCCATCTCTGAGGCGGAGGCCATGCGCGATAAGGAAGTACAGGCATACGCACAGACCGAAGCAGGTAGGTACATGGGGCTTACTTATGGGGCTTGCGAACAACAAAGAATCGCTCCCATGCCAATGCATCACGTGTGCAGAGCTTGAGGAGGCCATCGATGCATTAGATCGTGCCATAGAGGTCATGACAGCCGTGCACGGCGCCAAAGACGAGTCGTTGACCACCAGCAGCAGCACCAGTCTCATTGCACGGGGCGTCGCACTGAAAAACCTCATGCCAAGTGAGTGTACGAGCACACACACACGCAACACACTCGACGGACGGCTGTGTACCCGAATGTGTGTTTGGCGTTGATACAGAGATCCGTCATGCCGTTTCGATGGCGTCCCTGTCGACCCTCACAGAGGACCAGCGGCAGGCGCTGGGGACCTTCCTCGCCAGCAGCCAGCCGGATGCCACGGACAACCCACAACTCAAGCAGTACCCACACACGACAATCGTTTTTGTCCGCGTGTGTTGATGGATGGATGGATGGATTCGTTTGCAATGCTTTCGATGGTCAGGTCTCCCACGTTCAGGCTGCAGTACCAGCCCTCGTCGAGCAGCATATTCGGCATACTCAAGAACATGAAGGACGAGTTCAAGAACAACCTCGACGCATCCATATCGGTAAGCCCGTCCACACATCTTCGTCACTGTGTGTCTGTGTGTGCGCACATGTGCTGGCATGGACATGGTGTGGGTAGGAAGAGAAGGACAAGCACACCAACTACGAAAGCCTCATGGGCGAGAAGCAAACGGCCTTGACCAACATGCAGGCCGAGCTGACGGACAAGGAGTCTGCCTACGCCACACACGGCCAGACACTCGTATGCCCACCATCCCACCCCAAGATCCAACACACCCCACCATCCATCCCTTCTGTGTGTATGTTATGTGTGGTCAGACCAACAGCCGCCAGACGATGGAAGACACCAAGAAGCAACTCAAGAACGGTCGGTGAGAATCCGAGTGCAAACATGCCAGCCACAACCCACCCTTTTGATCCTGGTTGTCGGCTTTCCGTTGCCGACACGCAGACGAGGCCTTCGTGGCGGACACTGACAAGGCGTGCAAGGACAAGGCAGCGAAATGGACTGGTAAAGAAGTAACGCATTTCTCCGGCATGTCTCGCAGGCCGCCTGCCTGGCTGCCATTCTCTCAGACCGGAGTCGCCTTCGAGCGGAGGAGCTCAAGGGCATCGACGAGGCACTCGGATACCTGCAGTCTGACGAGGCCAAGAGACTTCTCGGAGGGTGACTAAACTGCAGCCGCATGTCTTCCTTGTGCCTTCGTATGGGCGTGTGTCTGTGTGCACGTCTGCAGAGGTGTGGCCCTGCTGCAGGACGTGTCGCGTCATCGATCGGGAAACAAGGTCGCCATGCACCTGCAGAGGTCAGCCGCGGTCCTAAATGCTCCAAGACTACACCTCCTGTCCGACAAAACAAAGGTCGAACAACGATGGAGAGAACCTCTCCCGATTTCTGAAATATATGACTGCATTTCTGTGTGTCTATCATCCATCGGTGTGGTAGCACGGTTCGTTCCAGCAAGTGTTGGAGGCCATCAATGAGATGATCGGCATATGCAGGAAGGAGGAGACAGAGGACATCAGACACAAAGACTGGTTTGTTGTTTCCAAAGACCCACCCAGCCACCCAGCCACCCAGTGAGCCATATAGCTACTGCCATTCTGGCTGGCCATACTTAGGTGTGACGAGGAGCGTGCAGACAAGGCTGATGAGCTCGACAGAACCAAGTCAGCAGCAACAAGGGGCCTCTCGATGCCTCGTTGATCCTTTCTTGTCTGTCTGTCTGTCTATGTACGCAGCCACACCCACCAGAAGAAGCTGCAGGAGCTGGCTGACAAGGAAATTGAGGGAACTAACGTGGAAAGCCTCATGAACGCCACAGATACTGTCCCGACCACCCACACGGACGGACAGGACAAGGATGTGCGTCTCTCTTTTTGATGGATGTCTGTCTGCATGTGACGGTTCAGGAGTTGTCAGCGACCAACACGACGCTGTACGAGGCCATGGCCAACCGCACCCAAGCCGAGAACGCCAATAGGCAAAACAGAGCAAGGCGCCATGCCATGAGCAAACATACACATACACAGAATATATGGGTTGCAGGATTGTTTTCTCCTTGCCCGTCTGTCTGTCTCCCAGATGCGATTGCTGCCGTGGAGCTGCTGGATAAAACGATCGGGGCACTGACGGACTTCTACCGTCGCAACAAAATCGACATTGGAGAAGGGACCCTCGCCCAAATCAAGGTAGACACATAGACAGACAGACTGCGTGCTGTCAGTCATGGATTTGTCTATGGTCTCTCTGCGCCTTTCAGTCGCATGCTGACCCCTTCACGCCCACAGCCGACCCCGAAGCCACTTTTGGCGGGCCGAAGAAGGTGGGCCTGCCGCGGGCACACAAGCGACACTGCTTTCACCTTTCCCTTTTCTGTGGCTGCAGATGCAGACAAGGGGCATCTTGGTGGTGCTTGAGACGCTGCAGAATGACATGAAGAAATCCATTGAGCTGATGGACGGTGAGGAGCGGACGAGCCGCGACGAGTTCCGTCAGATGAAGGGCGACATGGTGGCCAGCATGGAGACGCTGGAGAAGAAGTATTTCGACCTGAAATTGCGGAAAGGTTCGGTGACTATCCATATATGCGCACGTCTGCATGGTCTCTCCGCGTTTCTTGTCATGATTGTGACATAGCTGCATTGGAGCGGTCCGTTGCCAGCCTTGAGAAGGAGTCGGGCGGCCTGCAGGCACTCATCGACGACATGCACACATACCTCAGCAAGATCAAACCCTCATGCGGTCAGCAACCCATGTGTCCGTCTGCCTCATGGTGTGTCCAGGCATGCACCCACTCATTGTGTGTGCAGATTGGATGATGGGCAGCTTTGAGACGCGGCGTGTGAAGCGCAAGAGAGAGATCGATGCGCTAGTACAGGCCAAACAGATCCTCAAGGGCGCGCAGTACGAGTCCCTCATCACAACAACCACGACGAACAAGGCCACACAGGCAGGGCGAGTCTGGTGGCCAAGAGGCGGGGCGTGATGGACGGATGGCCGAGCTGAGGTCATTCATAATCGCAGTGGTGTGAGTGGTGCACTCATTGTGGCAGCCACTTGACCTGACGCACAATGCAGCACACGTGCGTACGTGTGCATGGCACGATGGGTGGGTATCGATCGCAGTCAAGTTCTCTCGCATTTAGACCTTTGGATGGATCATCATGATGGACCATGATCGTTGAATGAACCAAGGAAGCAAGGGGTCCGTCCGTTCGTCTGTGCGTGCACATATGCAGCCTACGGAACGGTACGTACGCATTTGAGTTGAGCAGCCGCTCTCACAAGCGACATCACCACCACCACAACAGACAGACAGACAGACACAAATGAAAGAGAAGCAGGGTTCGATCCAAGGGGAGCGGAGTGGTGCTGCGCCAGCCAGCATTAAAAAGCTCTATCGCGGGTGCGGTGCATAAACTCCCGCACACGCACCACGTCTGCCTACACCTGGTAGTCTGTACAATGAAACAGGAGGGTAGGTAGGGAGCCCGCGGCTTGTGTGTCCATCGGCCGTGGGTAACGGGCGCCTGCTCATCCATCTCATGAACGAGGAAGCACTTCTCACCCACATCCGACGTACACCCAAACCACAGACGGAAAGGACGTGTGGCAGAATGAGCAATATAGGAAGAAGGGCCCCATGAGCAAGTAGGTACAGCGTACGGACGCACTTAGAACGACCCCACACACGTGGTGGCCAGGTGTGGGGTGGTGTGTGCGCGGCTGCTGCTCGTGCATAAATGCACGCACTGGAAGAATAGCACCCACACACACACACACACACAGAGACACAGACAGACAGACAGACAGACAGACACCTCAGGTGCGGTGCCTGTATTGTGTGCAGGCATCAAGTGGAGCCTTGTGCTAGGCGTAGAGTGTCCACACTCTAGCGCGGCTGTGCTGCCGCCGCCCCCTCCCTCCCCCCCGAGCACATCCCGTGTGGAAGCAAGCACCAGACACACGAAGCATTATGGTACACTCAGCCGAATTGAAAGCAAGCCCGCCATCCTCTCTCTCACTGATTCAAGTCACGCAGAGAAAACGTTGCTGCCTGTCCGTCCACCAATTCTGGCCATTCTAGCGCCTGTCTGGTCTGTCTTTCTAAGTATTATCCCCTCCCCCTCCCTCTCGCTGACCCTCCCCAGCACTAGGCGACACGACCACATTCCCATTCCCATTGCCATTGCCCGTTCCGCCCTCCCCGCCCCTGACATTGTGCTCACTCATCTCGTCGTTGGTCGTGAGCTCGGTCGGGCTGTCCCGTGGGGCGTCCGAGCCGGGGGTGCGTGCGGCATTGCGCGCGGCGAGCTTCTGCTGTCGCCACACGCGCTGCTGCTCGATGTGCTGCTTGAGTTGGCTTCGTTCCTTGTCCATGGTGGCTTGTGCGTCGATCATGGCGCTGGGGCATGAGAAGTACTTGCGCTTGGGGCGGCTGTAGCGGTAGAACAGACCCCCGCTGAAGGCAGACCTGGTGGACACACGGGGATTTGATGTGGGACTTATCTGGGCGGTGTTGGTTCAGGCACCTTATGGCTCTTGTCTCGTCGATGTCGCCATGAGCTTCGCCTCCTGCACACCACCCCCAACACACACACAAGCACACATGCGTCAGCACAAGGATTGCCTCCGACCATGCCATGCATCCACTGACCCATTCTATGTCTGTTCAAGCCACTGGACGAGGCGGGGTCCTCCCCGGCCTTACTGCCCCCACTGCCCGCCACCAGCGGCGGCAGTGTGCCGCCACCACCGGGCGAAGGCACATGATGGGAACTGGCACGCCACACAGAGAGGGTTGCGTGCATATCGTTCGTCTGTGTGCGTGCGTGTGTGTGTGTGTGTGTGTGTCGGTCCGCTTTGCTCACTCAGGGGCGCTTTGTGACCTCGATTCTAACGTCAGGGCCTGCGACGGCTCGCAGCCAGCAGCAGCAGCAGTCGGGCCGTAGTACTGGTGCTGCTGGTGCTGGTAATCCGCTGCTGATGGGTGTGCGTAAGGGTGTGCGCGCTGGTGCGAGGACGGGGGATACACCTGGTAGGCATTGGCATAGCCCTCCTGGCCCCACTGCTGCGGCTGCTCGTAAGACGGCTGATAGCCCGTCCCCGCCTGCAAATAGGGGTTAATGCCCTGGCTACTTTGCTGCTGCTGCTGCTGCTGCTGCTGTTGCCGTCGCATCAAGAGCAGCTGCTGGTGGTGCGACATGCGGCCGGTCTGCCGGGGGCCCTCCTGAGTGTTAGTGGTGCTGGTGGTGGGTGAGGCCGATGACGGCTGCGGCTGTGGCTGCGGCTGCGGTGGTGATGTCTCCATCTTGAGTGGTGCCAGAGGCATGTCGGTCCCACCACCGCCACCACTGCTGGTGGTGCTCATCGGTGCGGGGCCGTCCGGCGGATAGGGAGAAGGGTCCAGAGGGCTGGGCATCCCGCTCACACCCATACCTGCACCACACCACACCACACCACACCACACAACAAAACACACAAACGTGTGTTTGCGTGTCTCTCTCTATCTCCGTGCGCCGTGGGTGGGTGTCTGACCGGCATTGACACTATAGGCACTGTTGGCCCCCCCTTCACCACCACCCACATGCATGTGCATGCCGTTTGGGCTGCCCTGTGGTGCGCTGCCGAGCTGCATCGACTGTGGCTTGTCGGGGGGGAGGGAGGGGGGAGGGCGGCTGCCGTACGACTGGGGGTGGGGCTGGTGCAGGTAGGGGTTGTAAGACGACGCAGCGGGGCCTGCATAGCATATACATATACACCATACGACGAACGCGCGCGTGTGTGCTCACGCACTTGCTTGCAGGTTGGTGTAGTGCTGCATGGCGAAGGCAGCCGCCACGCTGTCAGCCCCACCCGTCAGACTGCCCGCACTCCCACTCGCACCTGCACACCAACACACACACACACACACACTCGCACAGTTAGTCGTCAGGCCTTTGTGCCTGTGCTGGTTGCCTTGCCGGCTCTTCACTGACTTGTGGAGATGGCCCTCATGTTTTTGTTCATGAGCGAGTTGAAGCGGTTCTTTACGGCGTTCTCCGTCCGGCCGTGCAGCTGCTTCGCAATCTCAGCCCAGCGATTCCCCTGAATGAACCACAGACCACACACACAACACAACACACACAAGAGCCTCTCCTCTCGCACACCCTACCCTCTCCCGACCTAGCTACTGACTGACCAGCTCAGCCTGTTTCTGGAGGATGAAGGCGTCTTCCTCGTGAGTCCATCCGCCCCGTCGTATGGTGGGGTCGAGGTGGTTGTACCACCGCTCACGGCACTGACGGCCCAGCCGCACCGTCTTGCCCTGGTGCATCTTCTCGTTCAAGATCTTGGATATCTCAGTCCAACTGACCATTGTTTGACCGACAGATCGACACACACGCAGCGATCGTTGTCCATCCATCTGTTCGTGTGCGCGTCTGTGCGTGTGTTTGTGTGTGTGGATACCTACCGTGATGGGCCGTATTGCATGACCAAGTGGTAGAGGGTGCTGTCCTCATCGCTCGCCCACGGCCCTTGCTGCACACACACATACGTACGGACACACACAAAAACTATGGACGTCATGTCATGCACTTGACAGAAGAGCTTGTGACGTACCTTGCCATCGATAGGCGATGATATCTTGCGCCACCTCTGCACGCACTCCTGCTCGGAGCGGAGAGGGAAGTGCGCCGAGATGAGCTTCCAGTTGGTGCCACTGGTGCTGTCCTGCGCCAGCTTCATCAGCGTCTCGTCCTCCTGCCGACTCCACTCGCTGCAGCCAAGCCAGCCCGACCCGAAGGACTCCAGATATGATATCCCCTCTCTGTGTGTGTGTGGTGCTGCGTGTGTCATGACCTGGCAGGTGCGTCGAGGATAGAGGTGAGGATGGGGTTGTTCGCGGCGGCGCTGAGTGCCTGCTCCATCCCTGAGCTGCCGTCTAGGTCAATGGGGCAGAGGGGATTGGCCGCCGCAGACGCCGAGGACGATGCATAGGGACCGATGCCGAACACCTCGTCGCTCAATGGCACCCTCGGCAGCTGAGATAACCCGCCTGTCATGTCAGCACACACACACCGACCCAACCAGTATTGAAGCACAGAGCCGAAGCAGGGATTGGCTCACCTACCGTACCTGATTGTATCTGCTGCGCCATGCCGTCCATCATCTACGCGCCTCTTACCCAACACATCCACGAGCTGCACTCTAAGCTCGCAAGAACGGCGGCTGAGTGGCCGGGAGGCGTGGAGCGCTTTCATGACGAGCGAATGCGATGAACAGAGAACAGAAGGACGAGTCAATCAGATCTGCAGACGACTGCGGCTTGTCAAACCGGCGTGACATCGAAGCCAACAACGGCGTCACCAACTCCAATGGCACGTCCCACCCGCCTACAGTGCAGCGTCGCGCCTTCTCCAGGCCCAAGCACGACGGCTTCAGCGGCCATTCCTTCGAGCACACCTGCCGCGAGACCATCCATGTGTCCCTTTTCGCCATCCTCGGGGTGCTTGCACGCCAAGGGACATCGCAGCTATTCGGCCCTCCACTGTGGAACGTCATGCCGCCGCCCTTGTTTTCTGAGCTGCCGGCGAATGCACTGGGCAGCTTCACAATGGGGATGGCGGCCAGCGCCGTGGAGCGGATCAAGCGCGCGACGGGGCCTTCCGTGCACTTGGGGGTGTCAACTGGCTTCTGTGGATCCTTCACGACGTTTGCCTCTTGGATGTATCGCGTGATCAAGCACCTTGCGGACGGGCAGGTGGTCACGGCGCTGCTCATGGTCATGCTGGGCTTCCATGTGTCGATAATGAGCTTTTTTGTCGGGAAGCACGCTCACCTGCTGCTGGAAAGGATGCTGGAACCTACTGTGGCGGCTGTGGCTGAGGAAAAGGAGGAGGACACCAAGACGGTACAAACGGGCATGGTTGACACGCTGAGTGGCCAGCACAAAGAAGCGGTGGACAGCATGCGTGGCTTGCACAGAGAGATGAGGGGCGCCGTGCTGAGGAGATCGTGGTCAGCCATCCTCCAGCTCGACAGCGCCCTCGAGAACCTGCTCTTTGTCGAAGACAATCGACCGCCCATCAGTCGGCCTGACAATAATGGTGACACCACTGCAGATGCGCCGGCCAAGATGCCAACAGCTGAGCAGAGGTTCCACAACGGTTGCCTCCTCCTCTCTGGCACGGCCGTGTTCCTCATCTGTTATGGCGCCCTGGTCTGCGCAGCCATATTCGACCGCAGCAGTTACAGGTTCGACATCTATTGGCTGCCGGCACTGCTCGGCCCGGCAGGCGCCATCGTCCGATGGCAGCTTGGGAAGGTCAACAAGCTTCCCCGGTTCGCCGGCAAGTTCCCTCTGGGCACATTTCTGGCCAATGTAGTTGCGACGTTTGCAAACGGCGTGCTGTCGGCCGTGCTTCTGCTGTATGGATATTCGCTCGACGAGCTCTCTGGGGAGTTCACTGTGGCGAGCATGTCGGGGATTGACGCGTCCCTGTCGACTGTGTCGACGTTTGTGGCTGAGCTGCATGGGCTCGAGCTGTGGCGGGCGTACGTGTATGGGCTGCTGTCTGTGGTGGTTGCCGTGGGTGTGGGCATTGTGCCTTATGGGGCCGTCTACTGGACCATGTAGAATGGCGGCATATGTGGGACTCAGCCAGGACACACACAGAGGGACAGCATTGTGTACGCGCAAACGGGTGGTTTGGTTGTTTTCGCGGACCACACGCAGACAAAGAGACTCTTACATGTGAGAGTGCGTCAATAAGGATGGGATGGCAATACAAACACACGTATCATCATCACTGCGCACACCCACACCCACAGGCACCGACACAGAAACATCAACACGTCCACGATTTTATGTTAGATGGCTGACCTCTGCCGTTCTGAGGCTCTTCGGCTGCTGGTGCCGAACCACCACAACAGCTCCGCCAGTGGGGATCGACGCCGCTGACACAGACACACAGACACACACAGACAGAGACATGTGAATGTGATGTCTCTGTCTGTCTGTCTGTTGTGTCTGTCTGGTTGGTTTGGTGCGTGCCTGGCACGATTGGCTTCTTTGCTGCCGCCGCACCCTCAGCACCGCCAGCCGTCTTGGGGAATCTGCACCCACACACACACAGAGAGAGAGAGAGACACTCATTTGTTTGTCCGTCCATTTGTGTGTCTCTCTGTGTCTCTCTCTCCCATCCGACGCCTTGACTTGCCGCAGGTCGATGGCCACGTTGTTGTCAGGAGAGCTCTCGAGTGTGTTGATGCGCTCGTCCGTCTCGTTGAGCTGTGCCTGGAGTCTCTGGTTTTCGCTGTTGGCCTGGGCGAGTGCGGTCTGCAGTTGGTGCACCTGTCCCTCCAATTGTGTTTGCGCCAGCTTGGTTTGAGCCAGTGCGGCCGCCACGTCGCTTTCCTCTTCCCCGGCCTCCTCGAGCTCCTCTTCGGTGATGGTCGCGGCGGGCTGGGCGGCTCGCGCTGCTGCTGGTGGTGGCACTGTTTGGCCAGCGGGAGGTGTCATTGGTGCGGCTGCGGGGGGCTGAGGGACGCCGATGGCCTGGCCCAACACACCCTCGAGACCTCTGCAATGCACAGCACAGCCGATCGATGAGCTGAGCTGAGAGACTGACTGGACTGCGTGATGGTGTTTGTTTGGTTGTGTGCTTACGGGATGAGCGCATGTGACAAAGGCGTGCAGACGACAGCCGCGACCATCACGAGCGAGGCAAGACCACCAGCCGACATCATCCTGTCCTCACTCGACACGATCTGTCACGCCAAAGCCAAACAGTGCGTGAGTGAGTGGGTCAGTCAGTCAGTCAAACAGATCGAGAGCAAACGGTTGATTGATTACAGCCGGCCGAAGCACACTTACTTGCAGGCAGCTGTCCTGTCCAGCGGACAGCAATTGATGATGGGAGGGATGTTTTGTGTCGATTCGATTGACTGACTGACTCACTCAGACGTTTGACCGATCGATGTACGCGTACGTATTTGTACGATCGAGTATGTGTGTGTGTGAGGGAGGGAGAGACCTTGCTGCTTGTGTGAGTCGATGAGGGTCGACGGCAAGCTTCAGGGCATGTACCAACCAAATTGTCCGAATGGTCCGCATGTGCCACATCGCACGGCATCGCACCAACGGCCAACCAACACATGTCTCCCTCCACCCACAGAGAGACAAGATCGTGGACTCAGAGCACAGCAGGGCAAGGACACTGCTCTCTAGTGCTCTCAGCCAACGAGCCGGCCCTTGAGTGGGGGAGGGGAAAGACACACACGTGAAGGCACCTCGACTCAACTCGTCCCGTATCATCTCACGAACTCCTTCGCTGCGTGCGAGTGAGTCGGAGAGTCAGGAAGACATGGAAGGAGTATGGAAGGAGTCAGTCAGGCGATCCATGCCATGCCATGCATTCAGTGCGTCAGCAGTTGTTACTTCTAGACAGACCGATCGACAGCCAGCCAGCCAGCGATATATGTGGCTGTCGTATTATCCATCCATCCACCAAACAGCGCCCGTCCAGGCATGCATGCGATCGGTACAAAGATCGGACACCGCGCCACGACGCCACACCACACGACACGACACGACACGACACGCAAGTATGTACGAAACAGACAGACAGCCAGATACCCACCCACCCAGGCCACCTCGATAGGCGTCCTGCCTGCCTGTCTGCCTGCACGTTGACGTACTGTCCTGCCTGTCTGTCTGTCTGTCTCGATGAGTGAGTAAGGGAGTAAGTAAGTCATGCACGACAAGTGGCTGGCCACACCAATCATGTGCCAAGACAGACAAGACACCAACCAACCAGACAGCCCATCAATCATCTCATGGTGTGTGGTACACACGAGGGGGCCGCGACGCCCGTCTCACTTGAGGGAGGGAGATGAAAGGCACAAGAATGCACGCATCGGCTGGGTGGGTCCATGACGTGTGTGGCGTGGCGTGGCGTGGCGTAGTCTAGGTGTATCTGGCTGGCTGGGATTTGCATGGCACGGCCGGGAAGGCAGGAAGACACTCAGACAGGGAAGGACGCTTCATAGAACACCGACCTTCGCACGCAGCATGCAGCAAATAGCAGCAGCAGCAGCAGCAGCCAGTACGCACACACACTCTTCCTTTCTCTCAGCAGCAAGTAGGGTATCCAATGCATGAAGCGGGTGGATGGGGGGTGGGTGCGTTTGTATGTAGCAAGGAAGAGGGGAGTGAGTGAGTGACTGAGTGAGCCAGTGAGTGTACCTACGCCAGGGATTACCGCCTCCCTACACCAAGCCCACCCACTAAATTCAGCCACACACATGCGCACACGCAGCCGACTGACTGACTGACTGAACAAACGACCAAACGACCGATCGACAGATGGACACACATGACGTGACGTGCACACACATGCATTGCAAATGAAGCCAAGCCGGCCGGCCAGAAAAGCCGGCGTAGTTGGTACCATACTCATTACGCAGCAAGACAAGACAGCCACAAAGCCAGCCAAGCCAAGCAGCCGTGCATTACATCCACCGACGGAAAAAAATACCAACGAGTGTTCCTACGGCCTCGATTGGTTTCGAAATCGGTTTCTCCCCTTAGCCAGCCAGAAGAAAGGGAGAAAACAGAGAGGTGAAGACAGGCAGAAAGAAGGAGCGAGCCAGCGATGAATGCGATGCGATGCGATGCGAGAGAGGAGAGCCCTGCCTGTATAAAACTTCCATCTGATCTGACCAGAAGACAGACTGGCCGCACACAACACAACACACCCCTATCCCAATCCATCCCATATGTGCGCCAAAACGTCGCACACCACACACACATCCTCACGCACACCGCACCATACCACACCACACCACATACGGTGATAAATTTTCAGAATAGCACACGAGAGAAAGAAAGAAAGAAAGACAGAAAGGAATGCGCGAGAGCCCCCTGATACGGACAGATAGAGATTCACTTTACACAACGCAGGTATGAACGAAGGCAGCAAGAGAGTCGGCAGGTACCAAGTGATCGAGGATCGAGTCGATTCGTGAGTGCCATGTATGTCTGCAGGCGCCCTCGAGCCCTCCCTCGAGACGTAAAAGCGCGCGCCAGCAGACGTACACACACACACACAGAGAGAGAGAGAGAGAGAGAGAGAGAGGGAGAGAGGGAGAGAGGGAGAGGCATGGTTATGAAAATACCATATAGCTAGCATGTTTGTTTGGACAGACAGGCACACGAGTTCTACACACACAGACACACACGCAGACGCATACGCACACATGAGACTGACCAACTACATAAGAAGGAGGAGGGGGGGGCCAGGCCAGGTCAAACCAGACAGACACAGAAAGTACGTACGCACCGCCCCGCACCGCCCCGTTCTCTCTCATTTAATCCCTTCACTCACTCGTCCACCCACCCCATGGATCCCATCGATGGGTCGGCTGCCGGCACCAGTACGCCCATCCATCCAATCGCCCTGACCGCCATCAGTTTGTTCGATGGCAGATACAGAGTGATGATAGACAGATCGACGCAGTGGGGGACTGTGACGTACGCACGTATACCGGCCAGGCCGCCAGCCCAGAGGCTTTGCTCATCTCGCTCTCTCTCTCTTGACATCTGTCTCTTTTGACCTGATCTGGCCTCTCTCTGTGTGGTCTGTCTGTCTGCAGCGTCTGTCTGTTTGCGCCCTTCCTTCTTTGTCGGTCGTGTGAAAGTGGCCATCCTCGCGCTGATCGAATTGCTCGAATTAGGCATCCATCCATCTATCCATTCATCCATCAGTACGATCGATTGCATCGCATTCGACTAGGCGCACCGCAGCAGACATCGACCCTCACACATACACGCATGATATTACATTGACTAGAGCCACTCCTCATGCACCCATATATCACGCCACTCCCCTCCCCAACCCACCCCACCCACCGCCCGCCCCAAACAAAGGGCAACACAACACATGCACACGCAGAGGATCGGAGAGAGAGAGAATGGGAGGGAAAGAGAGAGAGAGAGAGAGAGAACAGGCGGACAGGCGGGCGAACGAAAAGACAAAAGACCTTGCTATGCATTGATTCATGCAGTAAAGGCCGTCAAGAAGACAAGACAAGACAAGAAACGACGAGAGTCAGCCACACAGACAGACAGAGAGACAGAAAGGCACAGATAGACAGACAGACAGGGAGGGAGGAAGGCAAGGAAAAAATATAGTCCACTCACCCACGCACCCAACACCCAACACACATCCATCCATTGACTAGGGGCACAGTCACACACACACACACACACTCCTCCCTCCCTCTGTCAAACCACACCCACACGCACACAATCCACACACAGGACGACTCAGGCAAGGCAGCAGGACATGCACAAAATGAATGAGACAGGATACGACACGACGACGGCGCAAAAAACAAATCGCGTCCGCACCAGGCAGGCAGGCAGACAAGTGGGTCGGTGGCGTGGGGTGGGGTTGTGGGAGGGAACAAATCAGCCAAAAGCACTTAACACCTGTAGCACCACATTAGAAAGGCCGAGAGGCAGGCGGGGCGGGCAGGCCGTACAATCAATCAGCCTGAGTGAGTGAATGAGTGAGAGGGTAGGTAGGTAGGGTAGAAGTACGTATGTACGAAGTGTCCTTACAAAAGAGTTTGTCAAAGACCAGACCTTCTCCCCCCGGG